CTGGGTACAAACGATTACAAAATACTGTAAACTTATATTTACCATAATTTTAATGCTTCGGTGGTTATAACTGGTGTTTCTTTAGACAATCTTAAATACGTGTAAAGGTGTTTATATATTATTCATCTTTTTCCCTATGTGTAGGGAACTGCTTTCAGGTTTTTTTCTTACTGTATAGATTAGAAATACCCCCTAACTGAAAAAAAAAGTTTATTTTTAACAAATATTTCGTTTTGCTTTTTTTTTTTTATCTAGAGAGCTTTGATATTAATATGGTTGCTGCTGCTTTCATTATCTTCAGCTCTGCATTGCACCCATCTAATGATTATATAAGCTTCATTATCATTTAATACAATTTACCGACTGCACCGTGTATTAACTTCCGACATGATTATTACATGCTTCTCCAAACTAGAATAAAAAGCACATTAACTCTTAAATCCCTCTGTACACTTAGTCAATAGTTTTAAAAAAATAAAGGAAAATACATAAAAACAACACTGAAGTATGGGATGATTTACTGTAACAGTTGTGCCAGGATATGTACATTATAATACAACAATTGAAATGCGTATTGTACAAGTAACATTATAGATAAAGAGAAGAAGGCCCGGACCCAGGACTCGCCATCGAAGTCTTTGTCTTCCGGCTCGGGGTCCTCAGTCCGGGTCCGCAAACGTGAAGGATGGAAGGAGGTTACTGAGACTGACCCATCAGGAGGAACCCTTCCTTGTCCCTGTCAACCACCGCACTCCTCATAATATATATATATATATACATACACATATATATATACACATACATATACATATATATATACATACATATATATGTCATACATACGAACTTCCAATATGGTATAGAAAAAAATCTGACTAATATGTATATATATAAATCATGCTTTATCACAAGTTCAAAAATCCTTAAGATAAACACAAAAAACAAACACAGGCAGAGACACGCGCCGGTGCCCCATGGGTTCTCCTGATGGGTCCACGGGCACTTAGAGTACCAACCAACCATTATAAGGCAGAGGAGGAAGTGTCCACACGACTAGGTTTAATTATGATACACACGCACTCCGACAGGACACAGGCAGAACAAAGCCAGGCGCAGCCCACTCCACCCCGGGGCGTTCGGAAGAGGCTCGGTCTTTCGATTTTTTTTTTTTATAGCTCTATCTTATTTTTTTGGAGGGGGAGGTTCTCGTCGTCTTCCTTTTTTTTAGCGTGAGTGAGACAAGGATTATTGTAATTTAAAATAATCTCCCCCCCTCCCGAGGATTTTCGATTTCTTCTTTCCTTGGCGGAGTTTGCTGGGGACATCCTCCACCGTGGGCGTTGGTGTGCTGGCGGTCCAGTGCTTCACAGAGAGGTTCAGTTAGCCACAACTACAATGCTAAATGTAACCGTAAAATCACTGATCCCATATGGCAAGGTTACTGACTGACCGCTCGAGTCAGGTGATTGTTCAGATATATACGCACACGCGCGCTCACACACGCACACATCTATTCATTTACCCGTTTCCATAACGCACAGGGAAAGGCCGAGTTGAACACATAATTGGGTTTGCTACATACATGTACATAACAAGATACAATAGTAATGTGTGTGAATCGAGGGACCGGGGAGAGGAGTGGACCGCTGCCTTGTTTATAAATACACGAACCCTCCACGGGGAGTTCAGCACACAACAGTCATGATCGCAGCTTAATCGATATGTTCTCAGTCCAAACATCAAGGCGAATTCTGGGGGACTCCTGGAGGCGAGGTCGTGACCCCGCCGGGGGCGATTCCGTGACCTGGACAAACAAGGGAATGCCTCCTCGCGGGGTCACACGCCCTCGGCCGTTTTGCCACGTGAATACAACTTTGTAGTTCAAGTGATCTTTGGATAAATACCTCAATAAGAATGAATTATCGTATTTTAAGTCATAACAAATCAATAACATCACCATGGTATGACGTACTGTGCATCCATCCGCTTTCTATGAACCCTTGGCCTCACGAGCATGCAGCCCGGACCGGAGAGACACAAGGCCATGTGTACCCTGGACCTACAAGACACAAGACCAAGCACTCAGGTCCTACAAGAAACAAGGTCGTGTTCGTCTTCATCAAATCACAGTTGCAAGAACCACGTGTGTAATGTATTGTGTTGTGTAGCGAGTTCTCTGCTGAGAGACGATCATGTTGAAGGGAATTCATGCAACAGAAGCAAGACCATGCAACGGGCCATAACTTGTAAACATTGCGCTTAAGAGTTTACAATTGAATTTGACATATTCAGAGGATTACTGTTTGTTTTTTTGTGTTATCCATTTCAAGGGGAAGGGGAAGGTTCCGTCGATTAAATAGCACTTGGGGGAAGGAACGCACGCAAACGCCCCCAACGACTCACATTTAGTCTCTGGGCGCAACAAGACTGGACACTTCGAAGTCACTTGTCGACTTAGATGAGAAAAAAAAATATATCGGCGAAAGGTAGCACCAAAGTAATTGTATAAGTGCCGGAAAGAGGATGAAAGAAATCTAGAAAAAAAAAATCTCTCCTGTCGAATGAAAGATTCTTGACACGGGGATGTGATAGGAGTAGCAATATAAAAAAAAGATTGAAAAAAAAACAATCAATGGCACGTATTATCAGGTTGTTTGTGCTTTGATGTGAATGATGAGGGAACTCCACTGTCTGAGTATTTAGTGTGTCAATCGCGTGGATCAGACCGACTGACTGCGGACGTCCGGAAGAAGTTCTCGGTGTTCGGCGGAATCGGTCTCCAGAGGCGCTCGGCAGAACACGCAGACCGACCGACAGCAAATGACTCAAGAGGCAAAGTCACAATATCTCCATACTTACAAAGAAGGCCAACAACATTGATGAATTTACAGTGCATTTACAGTGCAGGTGTGAGACATTTATCAAACACTGATTCTGGCGCATGTGGAAGGGGGATTATAAACGCTCATTCTTTGCAACATTCACGATACATTGTTTTCTTTGCAACATTCACGACACATTGTCCTTTCAACTACAGAGGAACAATGGCACTGGAAAACCCTGTGTGCACACCAATATGCTGAAACCATTGTGGTCAAAATCATTATTTCCTTCTTATCCTCAAAGGTTTACGAATTCATCTTAATTCACAGCATTGCAAACTGTTATTGCAAACAATCTGTTTATTCCTTGTCGACACAAGCACTGCCTCCAACTGACCGCGAAACTCTGAATGAATAATTAAAAAAAAAAAATGAATTCTTATTTTGAAATGACACGCGGACTCCACATTACTTCAAGCTCCCCCAAAGGAAAATGATCAGAGAGGAGGAATAACAACCAACGGCAAAGGAAAAAACGGCGAAAGAAAACGAGATACGCACATCAGAATGAGCAAGAGTGTCCTGGATTACGAAGAAAACAGGAACGGGGATAATGGATAATAACCGTGAAGACAAAGGCTGATAACTCGGAGGAGTAAATACAAGCGAGAGATTTCGTGGGCGAGGAAGTGGGCGGTAGGGGGGGGGGGCAAGGGAGGGAAGGAGGGAGGGAGGGGGGGTATGAGACATAGTTAATGGAGAAGGGGGGGGGGGGTAAGAAAGGTCTAGATTTAGTTTGGAATATATAACGATCCTTAAATAATACATATATATATATATTTTATTTCTTTTGAAAGGGTGACCTTGTCTTGACCCTTATGATAAAAAAGCAAAGGAGTTCCAAATCGATATGTAAGAAGGTCTTAGCGAAGAGAGCTATGATACTCAACAGCAATAACAACAACAATAATTGGAGGCACCCAAAAACAGGTAGTAAAGGGTGGAAGATGGGATGGCTGAAGAAAGGAGGGAGAAAGGGGGGAAAATGAAAGGACTTGGCGGGTTTGAGAAGACCCGACGTACTTCAGAAGGGAGGGAGAGAGGAGGGAAGAGCGGGAGGGTCCTCGGCACTCCGGAAGAGAGGAGACAGGCAGGAGGAGGAGCAGGAGGAGGAGGAGGAGGAGAAGAGAGAGAGAAGAGAGACAGTCTCGCTGGCTGACTAGACATGCACGCGCGTTCCATCAGCCGGCGCTTCCTGGGGATCCGCGCCCTGCCAGCGAAGACCGCGGGGAAACGTGTCAGTGTCTTGCATCTCGTGTTTCGTCCCTCCTCATCGCAATAGAAGCCATCACTGTTTTAATTATATCTTATCAAAACAATAAATTGATTAATGTAATCATATATATATATATATATATATATATATATATATATATATATATATATATATATATATATATATATATATATATATATCGTTTGAGCTTGACAGCGAGACTTGCGTGACGTGCGTACAGCTCTTGTCCGAGGGGGGGGGGGGATGGCGACGACCAGTGCGTCATTCAGAAGCAGAGTACAAATTGGTCAAGTTGCACTGTACAGCTGCAATGCCATCCAGGGGCTATAAAATAGTGAACCATAAGAGACTGTTGTGTTACGATACAAAACGAGGGAGAAGTTCGTCTAGCATTACCTAGGAATATAGACGTCGTGAAGGGGTAACTTTCGGCACTTTGAGAATGGACTTGTTCCTTTTCCCTTTGGCATCGTCTGCGGCCGGCGGCGGCGCGGCGGCTCAGCGCAGGCACGGGCGCCCTAGCTCCCGCTGGCTCTCATAGGCCGAACTTCTTGAACAGGAAGTCCTTGCCCTTGGACATGACGTCCGTGACGGGGTTCTGCGTGGCCAGGTCGCCCAGCTTGCCCATGATGTTGCCCTCGCCCATCGGGTTCGGGATGCCCGACAGGCCGGCGCCCAGCCCGCCCGGCAGCGCGCCCGCCAGGCCGGCCGGCTTCTCCTCCTTGGCCTCGGCCTCCTTCGCCGCCGCCGCCGCCGCCGCCTCGGCCGCCTTCGCCGCCTCGCTCTGCTTGATGGCCTCCTCCTCCTCGGGGTCGTTCAGGTCGAAGTCCTCCATGAGCTGGTCCAGGTCCGCCGACGAGATGGCGGGCGCGCTGTCCACG